CCGCTACACTCATTCTATAGGTATATTGTTTTTGTCTACCCAACATTTCACCCCATAGAGCAGAGCTGGGCTCACCACTGTCCTATAGAACTTGCCCTTCAGCCTCATTAGTATGCGGCGATCACATAAAATTTCAGTTGCACATCTCCACTTCACCTACCCAACTCTAATTCTGTGTGCAGCATCTTCCTCGATCTCTCCATTTTCCTGGATTATCGATCCAAGATATCGAAAGTACAGTTTTTTTTGTACTTCCTAGCCATCAATCCTAACTACTTCCTCGCCTCTACTCCTCCCAGCCTTAATTACCTTGTGAAACATAATACCATAAGACAACAGAAGTTCCCCCAAGGAACTTCTACAACCATATTGGGGAAGCATTCATGTTCCCAAAACATACATATTCCTTGAAGCTTCTGAGGAAATTCAAAACTGAGAATTCTCCCCTTCATTGTTCTACTTCCTGCAATAGATACGTCCAACGTGTTTTGGTAATTAAACTACTAAGAAATCCTTTCAATTAAAGCTTAAAACTCTTTAAAATCCCCAGATGAAGTGAAGCAACCATTCTAGGTAAGAGCATTGGAACCAGGAATCCTAATTCTTGATGGCGCATAAGGCCAAAATAACAAGAGCAAAAAGTAAGCTCCTATACTAGTTTGTCAACCACACCACACCTAGGTATGTAAACTTGGGGTGAAAGCGCCCTGATTTGAAAAGTTCTTGCATGGGCTGCAGCTTTGTCTCATGCTCAGGCTCGGGGCTCCCAAGTTTTGAGATCCATCTCGGGTTTTTGCCCCAGCTCTAGCTCAAGTTTTGGGCTTCTAACTCTAGCTTAGGCTTGCTTTGTCTCATGCAGGCTCTAGTTCAGAAAAATGCTAAGCAATGATCACAACTCCATCACTTCGGTGGGGACTACCCAAACTTCGAATGCATTTACCTTCTGTTTCCAGCCCGAGTCTTTTCACCTTTCTTATGTGAGGACCTATCCGAAATACATGGGGATCCCAAATTATTGGAATAACTTAAGGTCAAACAGGCCATTTTAGTTGGCTTCAGCTATGTGGTATAGAACAAGAGTGACAGTTTTAAGAAATTAGAATAACATTAATAGTCAAAACAATCAAAGACAACATTAACTGCCACATTAGGCAGCAATTAAAGAAAGAACACAGTTAGTGCTCAATAGCATATTTGAGTAAACCTAGGACTCAAATGTGCATTTTCTCAAACTGATCTATATAATTACATTCTAATAATCAACTTCATCAAAGAAGGAAAAAAATACTATATAATCAAATAAAAAAGCTAAATGACATGTAAGTGAAATGCAACAATAACTCAAAAAATCATATGTGAACCTGAATATCTTTTGGAAGCTCTCTGTAATGATTTGATTTGTTGCGAATGACTCGAAGAAGATCACGAATGCTGTCAAATTTGTACCGTCTATAATGACCAATATTTGAGAGGAATGCAGGATCCATCTTTGCATCCCAATTTTCACCCAGAGCAACAGCTAAATTCCCTTCCACTGCAACTAGAAGATCAGACTGTTCCTCCCGGTCCTCTACTTCTATTCTATCACTAGTGTCTCGAAGGAACGAAAGGCGCATCTCATCTGTCCATAACAGTGGATGATGCAATACCTCTCCTGCCTTTGGCCTTGACATAACAAACATGAAGTATAATCAAATTTAATTCCACTACAAGAAATATATATTGTAAACTTTTTGGACTACATGGAAGGAGAGGAGAGAAACTCTACATGCCTCATTTCTGGATCAGGGTGTAACATGCGGGCGAAGAGGTCTATAGCTTCTGGAATATGTTCAACAACAAAAAGATCATACTGGTTCTTGGTAATATTGAAATCGCGCTCTAGTGGCTCACCAAATGGATGTCTACCACCGGTCATGCAAAAGAAAAGCACACAGCCTAAACTAAAAATATCCATCGCGCGTGTTTGGCGTCCATGGAGCAGTTGTTCTGGAGCTTGCCACCCAGAACTACCACAACCTTAAAAAATAAGGGAAAAAAGTTAAAAACGAAAAAAAAATAAAAAATCTAATGGACGAGTAATACTGCAAATATGTTATCGACGATACCTACATTCAAAAAATAAAGACTAACAAGAAGAAAAAAAACACGCTCATGGTATCATTATGAATATACGGGCCAATATGCGAAAGCCTGAGGGGCGAAGGAGTCGTGAGTCATGACATAGATAGAAAGCTCAAATAGAAGTACTATAATGGTTAACAACACGGTAGATTATTGAAAATAGGCAATTGCTGCTACATTTTGAGTGACTTATATATAATGTTGTTTTTATAACATTGTGAACAACTCAGATCATACAAAATGGTTTTTAAAAGCGATGATAGTTTCATAATTTGAAAAACATAAAATGGTAGTTTTCAAAAATATTTTAAAAGTAAGTTACATATGGTACTTCCCCAAGAAATTATCGCTCAAGTAACCTTACGTAGGAAATTCACCACCTCAAAAAATCATCGAATCATATGCATTAATACTCCAAAATTCTCCTAAAAACTGACTTGATAATACCAAAAAAATGGATTGTCTCTCAGGAATGCAAAAATTCGAATGATCAAACAGAGTTGCAGTGTTTAGGAAGAATATTGTGTAGCCTTTCTAATAATTATCGTGCTTAGTGCCAATGGGCAATGACAAAGTTACCAGGTCTAAGAATTCATCCCTACCAGTAGCATGCAGACCCAAAGAAGACATATCATCAGATATACGTTTGCTTAATCCCATATCAGAAAGCTTTGCACAGAGAAATTTTCCATTGCATATCAAAACATTATGAGGCTTCAAATCACGATGGATGATCCCAAGGTCATGTAAATGTACTGTCCCAGATACTATATCCCTACATAAAACAATTCAGATCGAATAGTCATTAACATCATAGAGTATACATAAAAATAAGCGACAAAAAATTCTAGAAAATCGAAGTTAACAAAAAAACAAAAAAAAAAACACATATATAAAATGACAAAAGAATCACATATAACAACTTTATAAGAAAATAGGATATAAATATGGTAGAAATATTTACCCTAGGGAAATGGTAGAATGAGAATGACTTCCAATGCATAATAATTTTATGTACACACATGATGGCAAGAAGATTTTTCTTTGGGTTAGGCAGCAAAGCATTTTACTTTCACTAACAAGCAAATAAGGGAATGAAGAGAAAAACCAAACCTCTTTTTTATTGTGGAAATAGAGATTTCAACTACTGAGCTTCTTAAGGCTCCTCAATTGTCCTTGTAGGGCACAATGGCATTGTCATTGTGAAAGAATTTTAAATTGATCTAAAGTTCCCTAATTCAAAGTTCCAAGGCCTCAAACTATGAAAAACTTGGAAAAAAATGTCAAACTTCAATACTCAGCATCCAAAAACTTTATCATGAAGAAATGGGCAATTGTATGTGAACTCAAACAAATCCTTTGACAAGTAGCAACTTTTTTACAATATTGGAAATAAGCATGTAAATATATCCTCACATCAGACATTGAACTAGGACCAAATATGACTATCACACCTTACTCTAACCCTAATGCCATTCCTAAATTCTATTTAATTGAGAAAGTACCCCTCCAAACACTTGACATAATCTCACCAATCAATTGATACCCCCACCTCACCCCAAACACTACAATTTAACCGTATCCTATAAGTTGTCGACCTCACTCGCATAACACAAATGGCACATCCCTTAGAGGGTGATGTTAGCCACTTCAAGACATCTGATGCGAAGATTGCCACAACTCCCCCTAACAAATTTCTGATTCATGATTTCCACACCAAAGAATGGTACTTGCTTTGATGCATGGATCCTCCCAAATATGTCATATCTCATCATCATCATCATCAGAGAGCCTTTTCCCAACTATTTAGGGTAAGCTATACGAATCTTGGTCCCCCCATTCTGCTCTATCAAGGGCCATACCCTTAATGAGGCCATAAGTCGCCATAGTTTTTCTCACTACTTCCAACAATATCCTTTTGGGTCTACCCTTTGCTCTTTTTTCGCCTGCCACTTGAACCAACAGGTGCCATATCTATGCCAAATAATTTTGAAACAATGATGTCGGCTTGTAGCCTTGCCCTATGCTCTTTGAAATCCATTCGATTTTAGGTTTTAGGAAAATGCCCCTTCTTAGAATGATCTGCAAACTGCAATACAAGTGCAAGGGCATTTTCTATCTTAAAACCTCAAGCATGATAAGGAATTTCACCATGTTCGATCGAACATTCAAATGTCTTATGAAAGCTATCAGTGTTTTAAAAGCGGACCGCCCAACGCCTGGGTGGCCACTTAGGCGGTCCAGAAGGCTTGGGCGCATCACCCAGGCCTAAGCA